GAGCAAGGCTGGAACTTTGTTTTAGAGATGTTACCTTATCACTTTTCTTTAGAAGGTTTGTAATTTTGATTCATTTTGCTTTTTTTTTGTGTGTGTTTTTTTTTTTTTTTGTTTTGTTTTATATAAAAAAGAGGTAATCGTAATTGTAATCGGTTCAGTTTTTATTTTATTTTTTGAAAACTCTATTTCAAAAAGTTGATCTGACCGGGAATCAAAGAATCTCAACCCTCTTAATCAAAGAATCTCAACCCTACTCCCTTTTATTTACAGCGAAAGGGAGTGGTATAGCTCAGTGGTACTGAAGGTAGGGTACTGAGCTTCTGATGCTAAAGACCCCAGGTTCGAATCCCGGCTCATAGCAGAATAATTATTTATTCTGTGAGGTGACCCTGGGTAAGTAGACACTCCTGGGGCACACCCAACCTCTATAAAGTGGATACCCTTAATTAAAATAATTAATTAATGGGGAAAACCTAGCGATTGAGCCTGATCTCGACCAAATCACCTCCTTGCACAACTGTAGACCTAGAAACAGTGTAAATAGTACTAAACGCAAGACCCTTCATGGGTTGTACTGGTGCAGTTTTTTTTTAATAAAAAATCTGTTGACCTCAATTTGAGTGACTATTACTGGTGCAAAATACACTGTTAGAATTTCCTAAGACTTTGGTGAATAATATACTAGCTGACTGTTTAGAAAAAACGAAATTGGTAAGAGAGGAAATTCGCTATTAATTAAATCCACTTGCTAAGATTCATTGTCAGACATTGAGTTGTGGTTCAACAAGCAATGGCTTTGGAGATTCTTTGATTTCCAGTCAAATCAAATTTTTGAAATAGAGTTTGCAAAAAACTTTTTAAAAAAACTGAACTGATAACAATATTAAAACGATCATTTCTGAGTCCAAATTGATTCTTTTAAATTGATGGCAACAATAATTTAGATTAGCGTCTTTATGTGTCGAAAAACTTCAGGTCGAAATTATTTATTATACTGAATTATAATTACTTTATTTTAATATTAAATTTGCTGATATTTTAGGAAATATGGTTACTTCCAGTGATATCCTGAAAAACAATTCAATGGATAATGCTATTATATTTACTTAAAAAAAGTCTCACAATCCTGCTATTACCTAGGTCAAGATCAAGGTCTGTCTGGGTGTATTTCAGTACGTGGCCATTCGAAGAAATAATATTGAAGTCAGTTTTATTTTATCAATGCTTCTAGTTAAGGCTGTGGTATAGACCCTTTTTTTGAAATTATTAACATCCGCTTGAATATTCGTAAATAAATTTATCTTATCGTAATCTTCAAATATTTTATGTGCGAAAATTCTTGTAATTGGTACGTTTTCAATCTGGAGATCGACAAACTTTGTCTAGTTAATTAGGTTCTCAAAACTCACGATTACCCGTTTGTTTTCCCCTTGGATAGTAAGATAATATCATCACAAAATATTAGAAAAAAAAAAAAAAAAAGGTCGCCTGCAAACATATTGGGCCGTTCGGCCTATATAACCTCGTTGTTTAGACATTTTGGTGGTGTACAATTCTCATCTTGGACATCTGGGAAAAGAAAGATAAGCCATCGGAATGAATACCTTTAAATACAAGATATGCCCATTGACTGTGAGAATTTAGAAAAGGAAAATCTGCAACGGACCAACTATTTTGCCTCAGGATTATACCAGAAAATGGACGTCGGTTCCCTGCAACAACTCACTATTTATTCGTGAATTTCAAAGCGGCTTGCGATAATGTGGATCGAAGGGGTCTATACGAAGCACTGAGACAGCTAAATGTTCCTGCAGACCTGAGAAGATCGATCAAGATGACCATGACAGACCTTGAATACGTTGTACAAGTGATCGTTCTGAAAGTTTTCAGTCTACAAGACTAACAATGCAAGTCCGCAAGGGCGATGCACTAGCACGTTTACTGTTCAACCTGGCGCTAGAGAAGACTATAAGAGATTCCAGGATTCAGACGGCAGGAACTATTATAAATAGAACCATGCAGCTCCTAGCATACGCCGAAGACATCAATATAATTGGACATTCAAAAAAGTCAGTCAAAGAGGCATTCCTCTCCCTTACAGAATAAGCAAGAAAACTTGGTCTAGTGGTCAACCATGATAAGACCAAGTATATTATCGCTGAACAGCACCCAAGACATCCTGGGAAAGAAGAATATTAGCCGCGAACAGTTGTTACTTTGGATTGAAGCAACATCTATCAAGCAGGTTAATGACCAGAAAAACAAAAATTTCTATATACGAAATTCTGATTCGCCCAGTCCTTACATATGGAGCGGAGACATGGACAATGGCCACATTTGAGCGAAACATCCTCCTTTGGCCCGGTGTTAGTTGGAACAAGAACAAATGAAGAGGTCCTTTGACTCACAACTCTATTTGACGTCTTTGACGAGGCTGACGTTCTTAGTATTATCAAACGATGTCGTCTAAGATGGGCTGGGCATGATGGAGGAACATAAAACTCCTATAAGATTACTGAGAAAGATAGTCCATGACCGGAGGAGTGTTGGCAGCCCCCGACTTCGATGGATTGACGGTGTGGCTGAGGATGGCGGCAGGACAGGACAGAAACAGGAGGTTGCTGGTTGAGGATGCCTGGACGCGACAACGTGTTGTAGCATCAAACTAAACAGTGGATGGAGGTCACGCCAAACGGGTAAATATTTTTGTAGGTCTCTTTTTTTCTATTTTGTGAACGTTAGTATTAAGCGTCTTACTATTTAAGTGGAGAGAAAATGGTTATTTATGAGTTTTTAGTACCTAATTAAATAGACAAAGTTTGCCGATCTCCAGATTGAAATCATCACAATTCTGAGAATTTTCGCAAATAAAATATTTGTAGATTACAAAGAGATGAAGCTTTTTACGAAGTTTCAGGCGGATGTTGATAATTTGATTGATAGGGATCTGTACCACGGAATATCAGTTAAATAGTTCATTCATTTCATTAAAAAAGAATACTAAAATAGTAATTAAATCAATTTTTAAAATGAATTTAAAGTATCAATTTAAACTGGTAAAAAATGTCAAAACTGAAAAAAAATATTAAAAATTCATTGAAAAGACTCAAGCAATAAAAAGTCAAAACTGAATTATCAATGTTGCCGTGGAAGTATAAGACAACGAAAACGACATTTTTACTCTTTTATTCTCAAAGAACACTAAAAGGCAGTGACAAGTTATTCAGTGCTAAAATTAATTTTCGCCTTGAGACAAAATTCAATTATTAGTTGCTTCATAATACTGTATGTCAATGACTTAAAAACAAATGTGTTTCATACCATCGTTTCAAATTTAAAATTGTGCTTGCTGAAGTATTTATATGTTAGTAGCCGAAGATAATAATAATAAAATTATATTAACGGTAAATTCCAACTTCATTAGAATAACTTATTCATTTTAAAATCTGATTTCATTGATACTTTCGTTCAGATCAGACTAAATCGAATCATTATCAATACAACTCATTCATTAATAATATTATGTTAACCAATGAAATGGAAATGGAAATAAGTTTTGTGATCGAATCATTGTTATCAATAGATGTTTATAGTTAGAATGTAATGGTCATTATTATTTTCATTTTTTTTTTCGCATTCTGACTCACTGAAAAATGCAGTTATTTATTTTTGATTTATTTAAATAAATAATCGTGTAAAAAAAAGTCACTCGTTACATATTTAATTATTTTTGTCGATAAATTATTAAATTTTTAAAATAAAATTTTAATAAAATATATCCTGCACCAACTAAGCTATTTCTAATTAAATATTTCCACTTTGCCTCTATTTCTGTTAATTTATTATCATAATTACATTGTATGATAAATTAATTTTTAGATTATTTTAAGAAAAAGTTATTATAAATGTATTCTTAAAATAATATTGTAAATACGTTTATTATATTACTGATGCGTTTATTATATATAGAACAAAAAAAAATTATGAAAAAATCTTAAAATAAAATATTTTTGTAGTTATCTATTTATTTTACATATATCCAAAAGAAACAAAGCTTTGTATTTAGAATGCATTATATTAGTTTGATTATAAAGAAAAAAAATATTTTTAAAAAATCGTATTTACTCATTTATGTAATTTTTTTAGTTACTGAGCTTTTTCAAAATGAAAATAAAAATAGTGTTTTAACTTACTTACTATATGATCGTATATCGTGATGAATTATTTGTTTATTTTTATTTAAAATAATACTGAAAATAAAGTTATAAAAGGTCCTATCAGTGTTATATCAAAATCATGAATTTTATATTATTTGATCAAAAAAAAACATAATATCCCTTTTAGTGCAATTATGCTGAAAAAAAACTGTAATCATATTTTAACAACTATATTTTAGTACAATACTATTCATTTTTTTTTTAATTAATACCGTTTTTCAAGTTCGTTACTAAGATAGCAAGAACTAAGATTTTTTCAGGAAAAGTAAACGTACTTTTGCTCTTACATGTCTCACATCTCACACCTCCTTCCCAACATTCTATAGCAACATTTTAGGTAATATATTAATTTTTTTTAAATCAATATACTGCAACAGATATAAATTTTTTTTTACTAAATTATAGCAAACAATAAAAAAAATAGATTTTTTTTTTATTTGACCTAAAAATACAATTTCGTTCGAAATAGCCGGTCTCTAAATTTTACCGCCGGTCCTCTATTACTAAATAAAATATAATATTTCATTCAATAGTTAAGGGTTATTTAAAATATCAATTAAGATAAATAATAATTAGCAGTCCGTAAGTGAGTTCCACAGAATAATAATTTTAAAAAGTGAGGATTTTTTAAGGAATTCTAAAATAATAAACTTTTTTTTTACTATAAAAAACTTAAAATTTATTAAAGCCTCCGGTAACCATTATAACACAACACTTGTACAAAATAATATATAAATAATAATGTCTTTATTTTACTTCTTGTCACCTAGTCCTAGATACTGGATGACCGGCGACCAAGACCCAGACCACGACGGCCTCCATGGTGCAGAAGGCGAAGAGGATGGCGAAGAGGCCGAGGTTGTTGGCGGTCGGGTGGTGACCCTCCGAAGAGCCCAAGTAGTTGATGAGTACCGGGAAGATCATGGCATGGTTCCGGACCGGTACAAGACTAGTCGAGGACTGGTTCAGGACGTGGATAGATGTGGTCCGCTCCCTTGCCGGAGCAGTACTGCGGCCCGATGGTCTCCCTCCAGGTTATGCAATCTTACATAAAGCCTTGTATAACCTCCTTCCACCTCTCTGCTTCAGGAAATACACATCTGGGTCAGATCGAGGTGCACATGCCACACCAATGCACCGCATTAGGTAAAACACTCCAGAAAATTAAGTGTATTGCGACCGTTTTTAAATCGAAACATGCATTCTTTTCTAAGAAAAACCTTCTGGAGCCACGTTATTTTTTGTGGAAAGGGTATTTGATTAAGCTATCAGATCTTCGATGTGTAACGCTCGGATAAATTTACGTATGGATTAAACTATCTCAAAAATTTTGACCTGCATATTGCTAGCAAGAATAACGCTCCTAATTTCATCCTCTTTGAAATGAGCTATTATTCAAAATTGTGCCTTAACACGACGTCGTGTTAGATTGGTGAAAAAGAAAAAATAAATGTCGAAAACCAAAGGACAACAAATTTTATGGAATACATGAATTAAAATATTTCAGAAACTAAAAGTGGGACCTGCATACTGTAATCGAGTGAAATGTTCAGTATTTCATGCTTTTTATAATGAGCTACTATTTATAATTTAAATTTCATATTATTAATTTCGTAATGTTTTCACTTCTATCGCGTGGTGTAAAGCAGACATCTTAGTTTTTTTGTTTTGTTTTATATTTATTTCGTAAAACAAGAGCACTTTCTAAAGACCAGTAACATTCAGTTAAATGGAATATAATTAGCATTTTAATTAATTTGAATCGTTAATTGAAATATATGTTCTCATTTTTAGGAGTGCCTTCACTGGGAGGTTTCTCCAATCATGCTAATTCCGGAGAGTAGGTCCCCTAACGAACATCACATTTACAAAATATGCCATAAGGCATTTGTAAAATTGCTGTAGGCGGAGTGACCGAATGCGCTAACGCATGTGCACGTACCGCCGTTGATCGGTAACCTGATATATCAATCAAACAATATAAAAATAATCAGTAGTTCGGGTCCCGGTGGAGTCTTTAAATACTGGCCCTGGAAAATCCCACATAGCCTTAGCGGTGAGTAAGGGGAGGGCCCAAAAATAAAAAATTGTAACATTGCTCAATAAATAAATTTATTATTATACTTTTTAAAAAACTCATTTAGCTACGTGTTTCAAAAAGCAAAATTTCAAATTTTAAGGAGCGTTCAAGATACTCTCTCGGTAGATTACTGAGGTTTATTAATGAAAATAATTATATTGTGTTCCTTCTATGCCTGTATTTAAGTTGTTATATTAAGTTTCTTTTTACCTCAAGGTTCAGTACTCGCTCCACTACTCTATATCACATACACCCATGACATACCTTGCAGTCCCAACATTTTAACAGCGACATATGCAGACGACACAGCAATTTTAGCAAGACACAAAAATCCAACATACGCCTCACAGACCCTACAACAGTATTTAACAAGATTACATGACTGGTTCAAAATATGGAAAATCCGACTAAATCAAGAAAAATCACAGCACATCACATTTGCGCTTCGACATGAAACATGCCCTCCCGTTTTCCTTGACAATACACAGATTCCATAGACAGACACCGTTCACTACCTTGGTCTGACATTTGACAGAAAAATGACGTGGGGCCCACATATAACCAAGAAACGAAAAACGCTAAATCAAAGATTAAGAATTCTGAACTCACTTCTCTCGAAAAATTCAAAATTAAAACTTAGACAGAAATTGAACACATACAATTACTTACTAAAAACCTATTTGGACTTACGCATCACAAATATTTGGAACTGCTAAAAAGACTCACTTAAACAAACTTCAAACCTTTCAAGAAAAAACATTCAGGACAATCACAAAAGCACCTTGGTACGTTAGCAACGTAACCTTACATACTGACCTCCATACGTCGACTGTTAACGAACACATACGAAAAAATAAACCAAAAAAAAAAGTTTCTTTTTGTTTATATATATATATATATTTTGTATTATTAACTTGCTGTTGTTTCATTTAATTTATTTTTAGAGAAGTATTTTTTATTTCTTTTTATATTTTACATAACTAAAACTCCCTTTTATTTTTATTTTTTATGTTCTTACATTATTTATTATTTTCTCGTAACCATGTATAAAATATATATATTTTTTAGATTTTGCTGTTCATATTTTATACTTTTTTATTCTATGTATATGAATAGAAATTTACAATAGTAATACTTTTTAAGGTTTATTGTGGCACATTTCAGTATTTATCAATAAAAACTTTCATTGTTAAAAATGTTAATATTTACTAATTTGAAAATTTATTATATAAAAATTCTCGATGTGCACAAACACAACTTTCATTTATCTCCATATTTTTCAAATCAATATACCAATGCTAGTAGTATTTTTTTACCTGCTTGAACTGTTAAGTTGATTGAACTGTGGAAGGTGGCCTTGAAAAACCTGTTTTCCCCTACGTCTATGAAGCAACGGCTACAATTTTTTCCTACTGCGTGCGTCTTAATTTTTTTCTATAATCGGTATTATATAGTTTAATTTGAAATCTGCCCTGCCTTAAGATCAAAATATTTGAGAAGATATGTTTAAATTTTACTTTGGCTCAATTATACATTTTTAAAACTAATTAAAAAAATATTTAAATAAATTATTAAACTGATGCGCCATAACCAAGCAAGCATATGAGTCCATTAAATTATGCTATCACAAAATCACTATCAGAAAATTCGATGTGAAAAAAAAAATTGTTTCTTTGCATTCTGTAAATACCAAAACACTACAAGAAAGAATGGTTTCATTAATCTGGTAAATAGTAATATTTTTTATGGCAAAATAATTAATTTGAAATGGAAAATCTTTTTTAAAAATAGTGTGCTACAAAAAAAAAATTGGTAAAAGCTTACTGGTTATAGAAATCTATGAACCCCTTAACATACACATTTAAAAGCAAACTGTTTACATTCAAGGAACTGAAATAACCTCCCATAATGGAGATCGAACAAAAGAACGTAAGGCGATGAAGAAACCGGTTGGTTAGGTAAACCGAGATGGCATGAGCAATAAGCGAAGAAGTGCAGAGTACATAATCAAATAGAAGTCCCACGAGTTGTGTAATGGTGGCTCCGCATTTATGTAATGGTGAAGCAGAAGAATTTGCGCATCACTCAAACTCTCTGAAGCAAATCAGTTAAAGATGCTTTACTGTATAATGATGCATCCCACATTGGACTTTCAGTTCTTTCACATAACTCACAACTAATCATAAAAATGTTGGCATTCCACAATCTAAAACTTTGACAAATTAAAATAAGATGACAAATACTGTTATTATAGTTAACTATACGTTCTGAATCCCTTACTCTCTAACATATAAATTTCCTAATTGATTAGCGTTAAACAAAACATCTCATCTTTCGATAGAAAACCAAATAATTAATCCACAAAACCGTACTGAAACCTATCCTACTGGGCCTAAGAATGTAAACTGTGGGGAACAGCCAAATTTTCGAATATCAAGTATATTCAATCCTTTCCAGTCCGAAGTACTTCGAACAATAGTTAATGCTCCATATTATGTCGCAAACAAAACGTTACACAATGACTTTAACATGTAATATGTTTTTTGACATTATTTCTTCTCAATTGGAGTTCTGGCAATGGCTAGATTCTCCACTCAAGTCATGAGTGTCCATGGTTGTAGCGCCCTTACTCAATCCCCGCTGGCTTTCAATACCAGTGAAATGGTTGAGGAAGAAGAGCAGGGATCTCCTGAAGCCTCGCATTACCTCCACATGTGGGAGGATAAGTATTGTTCGGAGTTCCCATGGCCGACTGTAAATAGTGTAAATAGATATGCCTGCATCTAAGATGTTTATTTTAATTACTTTTCTTCTTTTTTTTTAAGATCATTTTAATTCTATTTTATTTATTTATTTTCATTCTATTATTACTATTATTTATATTTTCTTCCTTCACTATGATCTTTTATTTTGTTCTTTTGTAGCTTTATATTACTTGAAGTTAGCTTATTTTTTTATTATTTTTTTTTTATTTGTAAATATGGTGTGAATGTGCTCTCAGAACTCTATTATAATTGTCCTTTATTGAAACAGATTGTAATATGTATCAATAAACAAATAAATAATAAATTTCTTCACGATTTACAAACTTTTACCAGAATCTTGTTCATCATCCTAATCCTCTAGCTCAATCCTTATCTATTTCAGATTATCCATAACACCCTTCTTTGAGGTAAAAACGGCAGATCTCTTGTAAGTATACTTTTGGAGTCTTGGCAGTGATCAGTGTCTCTCTCAAGTCCTGAGCGTCTGTGATTCTAGTGATTCCAATGCTGGAAAAGACTAACTGAGATTTCTGGTGTCCTGCTTTTCCTTCTACATGTGGAGGTCAAAGCTCGACTCGGAGTTTCCTGGACACATGTAAATATTGTACATAACTGTGAATGTGTTTAAGAAGATTTACTTTATTTTTTATATTTGTATTTATTTCACTTTATATTATTTACTTTTATATATATATACATACATATATGTAGCCTTAATACTTATTGTCCTCCAGCGAGATTGTATTATTATTCAACTAAATAAAATAAAACAAAATAGTGTTAAATTATCAATGAGTATTTTATTCACACACATTTTTTTTTTTTTTTTATTACTTATTACAGACCTTGTAAAATCTTTAGACCCTCTTTATATCTGTGTATTTTGAAATATAGATTTTCCGTTTTCTGAATGCAGTTCATCGAAAATTATTAAACTAACTGAAATAAGATCTGTGAAAAGAACTTATGAAGTCTGGAAACTCACTTGAATGCTGTCAGTATTATTTCTATACTTCGCAACTATATTATATTCACATAGGCAGCAGATGAAAATATGGAATACAGTGCCTTATAGATATATATCCTTGACCGAAGAGGGATCGATGGAGGAACAAGGAAGGCTACCTATATCCGATTGATATTTATGTGGCTGTGAGCCGAGTAGCTAAGGCCGCACATTGATATATCTTGTCTCTGACAGTCGGGTT